TGTGACTACTACATACAGCTGATAAGGGACAAGTGTTATTTGACACAGTGTGTGAACACCTCAATCTCTTGGAGAAGGATCACTTTGGACTTACGACTCAAGAAAACCCTGGGCAAAAAAAAAAAAAAAAAAAAAACACCCACAAAAAAGACAAATAAAGGTGAGCAGCCAGGGAAGATTTTGCAGTTGTCTCTTATCTTCCCTGGATATTCACTTTTAATGTGAAGTTTTATCCTCCTGACCCTTTTCAGTTGACTGAAAATATCACCAGATACTTGTTGTGCCTTCAGCTCCTGTAAGACACTGCCTCTGGCCACCTGCCCTGCTCCATTGTGTTTCATGCCCTCCTGGGATCCTACACACTGCAGGCTGAACTTGGAGACTATGAACCAGAAGTTCATGGCAGCATTGACCTAAGTGAATACCAGTTTGCCCCTACACAGACTGAGGAGCTGGAAGAGGTGGTGGCAGAGCAGTACAAAAACCATAGGGGTTTGTCTCCAGCACAAGCTGATTATTGGTTCCTAGATGATGCAGAGGGACTTCCCAGGTACGGTGTTGCCCTACATGATGCCAAGGACTGTGAAGGTGTGGACATCAAGCTGGGCCTGTGTGCTGACAGCCTCCTCATTTACAAAGACAGGCTGGGACGCAATCATTTTGCTTGGACAAAAATCTTGAAAATTTCCTATAAGCTCAGTAACTTCTACATTAGATTAAGGCCTGCAGAGATGGAACAGTTTATTCAAACTGCCAATCATCGGGCAGCAAAAAGGCTACAGAAAGTGTGAGTCATTTTCTACAGGCTTGAACAGCCACCAAAGGCCAAGTAATTAAATCCTACAACCCAGAGATAACTACGGTTAACATTTTTGGGGAAAAACTATAGATTTTTTTGTATTTGCGTGCCTATATACACATACTTATATTTATATGCCTTTTAATATTCCATCATATACAGCATATACAGCATACTCTTTAGCAACCTTTTTTCAAGGAGCAGCAGTGATGTTCAATGGTGTCACATGATGCAAAGACTCGGACAGCCCTGAGTTTTATGTAGAAGAGTACTACATTCTATATTTTAAAGGAACCACTCTGCTTTCTTGAATATAGACTATAGAAAAACAAGGGTAGAGAAAGGAAAACCATTAAAATGCTATTGCATTAATTCAGGTGAGAGATTATGGTGGCTTACAGCAAATTAGTAGCACTGGAAGTAGCAGAAAGTAGTCAGATTCTGCATATACTTTGAGCGAAGAGACGACAAGATGTCCTCATTGCATGTGGGATGTGTGACAAAGCCTAACACCTGGAAAGAGGCAGTCATCAACCGACATGGGAAGGCATTGGGTATAATGTTGAGTCAAGAAGATCAAAATTTCAATTTTAGACATATTAATGAATTGTGTTTTCTTTCTTTCCTTTTTATCTTTTTATTTTAAAATAATTTTAAATTTCAGGAAAGTTGCAAGGGTAATACAAAGACCCCTCATATATCTTTCTCCTAATCACCAAATGTCAACATTTTGCCATACTTTCTTTATCACACTCTATATAAGGTTATCGTCATTATTTCTGCAGAACCACTTGAGAGCAAGGTGTTAGACATTATGACTCTGTACCCCTAAATCCCTCAGTGTAAATCTCCTGTACATAAACACAGTACAACTATCAAATTCCTTGATATAATAGTATTGTTATCTAATATACAATCCATATTCCACCTTTCTTGCCACTTATCCCAATAATGTCTGCTGTAACACTGTATCCAGTCCAGTAGAGTGTACTGCATTTAGTCTCCTTTAATCTAAATCAGATTAGACCTTTATCTTCATTAGCAGGGACATTTTAAAAGAGTACAGGGGTTGATCGTTTTGTAGAACGTCCCTTAACGGCTTAAGGTGTCCTAATGAATATTGTCAGGTTATATATCTTTGGCAGGAATACCACACAGAAATGCTGTATCCATCCTAACGTATTACACCCAAAGACACGCGATGTATTTGTACCATCAGTGATGTTAACTGTGATTCTTTAAGGTGTTACTATTCCGGGCTTCGTCACTCTAAAGTGACCATTTTTGTCTTCATGACTAGTAAATTATCTGTGGGGAGATAATTTGAGGCTACAAAAATACTCTGTTCACTGTCAATCTTCACCAATAGTTTTAGAATCAAGGAGATTTCTTCTGCCTAAATCAATTAGAATCACGATGGTGGAAAGATAGTTATTTTTTTAACTCTCTAATTCCTTCTACATTTACTAGTTGGAATTCCTTGTTAGCATAAACTATCTAGGGGTCTACCATGAATCACCTTGTGTGGTCCTGGGGGCACACCGTGAATAACAGACACTCCTACCACTCAGGAAATCCCATGAGTTTAGACAATGCTTTCCAGAAACTGGAGGCAAAGGCCAACCAACTTCTTTATTACACAGATGGTCGGAGTTGGGCACTTTTGAGGTTAAACCTGAGCCAAGACATAGAAGAAGTGAGTACACTACCCGGGCAGATACTTGGAGGATACCTTACAGGTTGGAGGAACTGTATACAAAGTTCCTCACACGGACTCTTCTTACACAGTCACACAAGTGTGTATCCCTGCTAAACAGTCCCAGTCACACACACTCGACGACCCACGCCGAATCGGATCCAAACGCCGCACGCCGTCACAATCACCGCGCACACAGCGGAGGTCACTTGCTCACTCGGTCACTTACAACCACACGCAGAAACTCCCACGCCGACTGCACTCCCACCGCCTCAGACCTACCCGCGGCGACCCAAGGGCTCCAACGATCGTTCACCGCCGGTCCACACACGTACGCACGCGCCTGGGCGTCACACCCCCGCCCTCCTTCCGCCCCCAAAACATCGCGAGACACTCGCAGCAGGCTTTACGTCTAGAGACTACATTTCCCAGAAGAGACTGCGGTGCGGACCCAATCACGGCGCGGCATTGGCGTGCTGTGTGCGTCGCGCCATCTTCCGGCTCCGCGCGGCGAGTCCGCCTCTACCGAGGTAGAAGCGCGCCCTGGGCTGTGGGGGGCGCGGTCGCGGTGGCGCCCGGACCTGAGGAGGCGGCAGGTGAGGGGCTCCGGGGCTTTCCAGACGCTCCGGGATCCATGCGGGAACGGGAGCCACGGCCGGGCGGGTCTCGGGCCTGAGAAGAACCCGGACGTCTCGCCCGGCGTCTGTATGTGACTGCCTGGCGTTGGACTACATTTCCCGGCGGCCCTTGCGGCGCGCCCCGCCAGCGCCCCCTTCCCGTGCCCAGCGCCTTAGCCCGGGTGCATGGACTCTCTAGGTGGGTGTGGGGGGCCCCGACCCCTGAAATTGCGGATGTTTTGCATTCATTCGTATGCGTGCTTTTTTTTTTCCCTTAAATCTAGTACAAAGTCTTGTTTCATGAGGTTCTCAAAATGTTGCAAGATCACAAAAGATTTAGAACCACTAGTTTAGAAGCAGAGACTTACCCTTGGTAATATTTTAGATGATTTTGTTCAAATTCTATGCCTTAACAATGGGAAAACAGTTGAGTAAATCACAGGCCATCTTGTGTAAATAGGATATCGTATAGTTAATACAAATAATGCTTATGAAAGGGGGTCATAATGAGGAAAAGCTGCCTATTACATCATATCAAGCAACATTCATACTTATTTCATTTACACATTACTTAGAACTAAATAGTTGTAATGTGACAGACACTGTCCTACACTCCTTTACAAAATATTACTCATTTAATGATGAACTCAAGAAGTGGTTAAATGACAACACTGTAAATACCTAGATATTTTCTATTCCAGTATTTTGTTTTGTTTTGAGCCTGTGTGTCAGTGGGTGAGTGGTTTGAATTCTTTTTGCTGAATGGCCTCTTATGGTATAGAAGATCTAGTTATGACTTTCTTTGTTAATGTTGCCCAACATCATTTTTGATAGTTGCTTGATGTTCCATTATATGGCTGTGCCAAAAATGATTCAGCCACTTGCCTACTTATATACTAGTTTTCAGTTCTATTCTTCAGCAAATATTATGCATGCAGCTTTGTGCATTGCTGTTTGTATGGAAGGGCACATTTATGTGTTGAGGATAGAGTGCTGAGCCTGCTCCATTTAATTTGTCTTATTGTCTCTTTCCACACCACCCCGTTTGTTGACTCGGCAAATCCCATGAAGAGCTGTCCATGAAGCCTCAGATTGGGCTATGGAGCTCTTTGTAAATTTGGAAGTTGGGAGAGGAGCCAGATAGACTTCTGAAGGTGCTGAATTTGATGCATGAGAGAGGTAAATGGCCTGGTTTTGGGAAGGCTTTATTCTAGGCTGGGGCTATGCAAATTATGCAGGCCTGTGCTTCCTGGCTTTAGGAGAGTCTTCGCTGTCCTTCAGGTGCCATGTGGGTCCCAGCCACTGGACCAGGTCTGAGCATCCCTGTCTCAGGTTTACATCAGTAAGGCAAAACCTCTGGGTATTTGGGGGAAATGGGAGAGAAGGAACCACAGATTCCTTGTCTCTTTGCAGCAGTCAAAGCTGGTTTCCTGGGTTTGGGTGAGGATCACTGTTTGTCCCAACTCTAATTTTTATGGGGGGTGGAGGGCAAGCAGATGGGAACTTGTAACCTTGGCATACATGGAGCTGTGACGCAAGCCTAGCCTCTCATGTTTGTTCTTTCCTCCCCCAGCTCTGCCATCTCAGGACTCTGCCCTTCCCCAAGAGAGGAACCAGGAGGAGGACCCATCAACCCTTGAAATTCTAAAAGTCATGTCCCTTGTGAGTTTTAACATCATGTAAATATTTGCTTTCCTTATCCTGAAACTTCCCACCTGGGTTCCCATCCAGGAATTTGGTTCTCAGAGGTTCCCATTTTACAGAATAAAAGGACCAGGCAGTTGGTCCCCTCTCCCATTGCCCCCTCCGCTCTGACAAATGCCCACGGATTCATTCTGTGTAGCACTGCACATCTCCTGATGGTTGTCTTCTGCCAGGAGGCCAGATAGATCATAAATCCATTTCCCTGTATGAAATGAGAGCATCCCTTAGTCTTCCATGCTGTGTATATAAAACAAACAAAAAAGAGAAATGAGAGCATCCCTTGTAGGAACACTTAGGAGCAATCACGTATGGAAAAGCAGGGGAGGTGGTGTTGGTTGGTTTCAATTTCAGCATGTGGTGCGGTGTCCTGTGTTGGGGAAGATTGATGCTTGGGTGTGTAATTGAGGCTTGGCTGGGAATCTGTGAGAGATTAGATGCCAGAATTAAGGTCTAGTTTGAGGTTGAACAGAGTATTTGAATCTGAGTCTTTCTCCATTAGTTTCTTTAGCTTAAGAGCAGGAGAAGTGCAGTTGAGGATGGTGGGTGATAGCAAACGAGATGGTCAGCCAGATGGGGGGATAGTCAGAGCTTGGAAGAGCCTTAGATACCTGATCTAACCTCTGGATCCAAAATAAGAGGATTAGTTTTTGAGATGAAGTCACACAAAAAAAAATAAATGAAACAAGAGGATGTTTGAGTCATTCTTTCCACTTGATAGAAAATTATACAGTCAATAAAAGTGATCTTCATGGTTTTTCTCATGAAGAAAAAATGCTTGTGACATAATGATTAACTTACATCTCTAAGAAATTCTTGACTTACACAAAAATCCTATTTCTAAGATAGAAAACATTTTTTAATGTAATTTTTAAAAATAAAATATTTAGGGAAGCTGGGCACAGTGGCTCATGCCTGTAATCCTAGCACTTTGGGAGGCCGAAGCGGGAGGATTGCTTGAGGTCGGGAGTTCAAGAGCAGCCTGAGCAAGAATGAGACCCCTTCTCTATAAAAAATAGAAAAATTAGCTGGGTGTGGTAGCATGCGCCTGTAGTCCCAGCTACTCTAGAGGCTGAGGCAGGAGGATTGCTTAAACCCAGGAGTTTGAGGTTGCAGTGAGCTATGATGATGCCACTGCACTCTAGCCTGGGCAACAGAGTGAGACCCTGTCTCAAAAAAAATAATAATAAAATAAAAATTAAAAAAAATTGGGGGAAAGTCCATCAAAAATCTTTTTGTGTTTGTTATTTCATAAAGATAGAACCGTTTCACCTTAATTGAGAATTTATTATATGCTAAATACAGAGTACGTGGCATGCTTTATTACAGTGTTTCTTACAACAAGGAGAGCTCCATTTAGCTTGATTTTAATTTTAATCCCAGACCTATATACAAGAGCTTTGGTGTGCAGTATAAAGGAGTATTTGAGAATATCTGAACATTCTATTTCACTCATGACCATTTCCTCTGTCACCTGCTCACATCCAGCCCCAGCCTTCTTGTTCAGTAAAACAACCCCTTCTGCAAAGACCTCCAGCTCTTCTCATTCCACTGTGAACCACTGAAATATGCATATATCGTACATGCCTGTTGTTGCAGGGGTCAGAATTGTTCAGAGATGTGGCCATAGTCTTCTCCCAAGAAGAATGGCAGTGGCTGGCACCTGCTCAGAGGGATCTGTACAGAGACGTTATGTTGGAGACCTACAGCAACCTGGTCTCACTGGGTAAGGTGATCTGGTCTATTTGGAGGTAATCCTTGGGTATGTCTGTTCCTTCCTGGTTAGTTTCTGGGTGCCTTTCGGTTTTGTGACTGGTTGGTCGTTTCTGTGGGGCTAAAGGGCAGTTGCATCAGCTGAAGCTGCCTTCCCCTGCCCTCAGGCAGCCATCACATCTTCTGCCCTCCCTGCAAACTGCCTCTCCTGCTTAATGGCCAGGAGATCTGAATCCTGGGGCCCTCACGCCATTACTGGGTGGCATGTTTCTTCCCATCTCCAGGTCTTGCCATTTCCAAACCTGATGTGATCTCCTTCCTGGAGCAAGGCAAAGAGCCTTGGATGGTGGAGAGGGTGGCGACAGGAGACTTGTGCCCAGGTGAGTGAGGCATCGGTGAGAAGGGAGCAGCCACTGCAGGTGTCAGGTCAGCTGCCTGGGAAGGAATCAGCCCCTTTGCATTAGAAAATCTTTCTTCCAAGTTGCCAAATTCAGAGGTCATGTCTTAGTCATTATCTTTCTCAACTTGTCAGCAGCATTTGACAAAGGTAGTTGCTCCTTCCTTTCTGAATGAGTACAAATATGGTGTTTCTTAAGGAAAGTATTTTCTCTTTGGAAAGATGTCGGTGTCCTTTGACCATTTTTTCTAAAGGGATTTGTATTGGTTGTTTGAATTTTGGAGAGTTAGTGAAAAGTATTTATTAAGCTTTTATTATGCACCACAGGGTATGACACAGTATACGTCGGTGAGGCAGGCAGTCGTTATCTCTGCCTTCATGGAACTTACACTGTAGTGGGGAACAGATGTTATATACATGCATGCACGTGGGCAACAAGAAAGAAAGAAAAAGACAGGTTCAGCTAAGGTGCATGACAGGGCTGATGGACTCTCCAGGGATAAGGCATTTCAGCTGAGACACAGAAGATGCGTTGTAGCTGGGGAAATACCAGCTATAGCCAGTGAGCGTGAAGGACCTAAGCAGGGGGAGCTCTTGGTACCTCAGATGCTAGACAGCCCTGGGGCCGGGGTCGACGAGCAAGGGGAAGAGCATAGAGATACGACAGGAAAGACAGCCCTTTAAGAAGTTTGGATTCTGCGCTGTGGGCAGTGGGAAGCCAGTGAGGAAGCAGAACCAAGCCTCGGTTTGTGGGGACCTGCTCTGAGAATATATAAATATTGTGCTTGTCACAGATGTTTTTACCTGCTAGTTTCAAGGATTCATTGAGTTTTCTCTCGGATCAGATATGACTGATAATTACAAAATAGTGGTTTTTTTAAAAAACTATTCTTTCTCATTTAGTAGTTAACATACTACTATAAAGAAAAGCTTTTTCCTGTTCATTTGTTTATTCATTTATATCATAAGGATTACTAGGTCTTGTTTTATTCAGTAACAGATTATAACCTATTATCATCATTTATCAAAATGTTCATATTTTTCTAAATTTGGCCAGTGAAAACCCTTTCAACCCTTGGTTCCTTTGGACATAATACTCATCATTTTTTTTCAAGAGCACATTTTTAACTTTTTTACTTTTAGCAATTCAAATAAAAGTCAGCAGCTAGTTAATGTAAATATAGAACAATTGCACATAATTTACAACCATGTACATAAATGCAAGAATAGCAAATCTCACATGAATCAAAAGATATCAGCTCTCACGATGTTGACTATTTAGTTATGACTGATAGGTCATAATTTAATTCTTCACATAAGCAGGGGTATACATTGGAAAAGTTTTTTCAAAACAAAAACTAAGAGTAAAACAAGAATTTTATGTTCCTGAAAGAAGTAGCATAAAAGTCAGTGTATAGATAATAAGAAATATAAGGGCATGATGGAGAATAGATTTGAATAGGTGGACAGAAAGTTGTATATTGTGTTAAATACTTTTATATATTAAAAATCCTTCTGTAGCCAGGCACAGAGGCATATACCTGTAGTCTCAAGCTACTCAGGAGGCTAAGGCAGGAAGATCGGTTGAGCCCAGGAGTTCGAGGCTGAAGTGCACCATGATTGTGCCTGTGAACAGCCACTGCACTCAAGCCTGAACAACAGAGTGAGATCCCATTTCAAAGAAAAAAAATCCTTCTAATTTAAATTATTCAGAAATATCTATATTCCAGTCATGATTGATATTGGCGGAAGAAAGGGTGAACTATTTTATTTCACATATCAGCCCCCAATGGTCCCTACATAACTAGCAGTTGGGTTGGAAAAGTATATGAACAATTTAGTGTTAGGCATGAACAAAGCTGAAAGATAAGAGGGAGATTGATGTCTAGCACTTAAATCCTTCAAATGCATGTCAACATTTTTAGTAATTTAAAACCTAAAAATGATAAAATGTTTACACTCAAGAGTCACCATTTGTTATTATTTTTATATTTATGTGAGTGTGTATATATATATATTTTTTCTTTTTTTTATGGGGATCAGTTCTTGCTGTCTTGCCCACACTGGCCTCGAACTCATGGGCTCAAGTGATCTCCTGCCTCACCCTCCAGAGTAGCTGGGATTACAGGCATGTGCCACCACGCCTGGCTAATTTTTCTAATTTTTTTGTAGAGACGGGGTCTTGCTCTTGCTCAGGCCAGTCTCGATCTCCTGGCCTCAAGCAATCCTCCTGCCTTGGCCTCCCAAAGTGCTAGGATTACAGGCGTGAGCCATTGCACCCAGCCCCATTCATTATTTTTAATAACCTAAAACTGTTGTTCCTAATATAATAAAGTTGTTTCATATTGTCATTAGGGGTTCTAGAAGACAAAAGGCAGCTTTAAATATTCTAATGATAGTCTATCATGGTTTCAGAGTTTGTTGGTAGGCCCCATCTAGTAGCGTCAGTTCCACAAAGTTACATACATAATGAGAATAAAGACAAAGCTTTACAGATACAGATTTTTCAGGGATGCTTTCCCAAGCATTGTATGGTATCCCAAAATCACAGGATTGATAATCTTCAGATTTGGCCTTTGAGTAAACTTTCTATGAGCCAATAAATTCAAGAGCTTCATCTGCTGTTCTGTTAGAGTACTATATGATCTTCTTTCAGCATCTACTGCTTTCACCTGAGTAGGTTCAGTTCATCTTTCTGGAAGGACAGAAGTGCGTACCATTCTAAAACGCTGACTACCTCTATCCCAGAAATAAAAAAGTTTTATCTGATAGAAAAGAGATGAAAACAAAATATAGTTTTGAAACATCCAATGCTTTGAATATGCTTTTCTCCTTTTTAAACCTTTGACTCAGTCAAAAAAAAAAAACCAACAAAAAACTCTCCAAAGAAATATTTTGGAGGCAAACTTTATATAGAACTTTTATATATAGCTTATTTTAAGTTATTAATGTCATACTTAAACTACAGATTGTACTTTGGGGGGATAAAAACTTGATTAAAAATAAACTTCATTGTTCCTTGTTACCTAAAACAACAAAATGAAAGACTCTAAGATCTGTTTTCCTTCTAGTACATACATAATACTTTTAAAAGTTGTGTATAACACATGAATGATGCAATGTAAGTTTTACTTCCTAAATACAAACAGGATTAGAATACATGTTCACCCTTGAAAGATACTTGTTATGAATTTGCTGTAACTAATAATGTTATCCTTAGCTGCTGGTTTTATATCATTGTTTATCATTTGTGGGATACTGAGATCATTAAGATTAGGAGATTCTCTTTCCTACGTTCAACACGTTACTGTTAATGGATCTTCACCAAGCACATGGCATTGTATTAGGCAGTATAAGTGGCACCTGAATATGTAAACATTATAGATTGAGACTTTCTCTACAGATTGAAGGTACAAACCCCCATTTTTGATTTTTAGTACATTCTTCACAATAAATGTCAAAGCCAAAGTTCACCGTAAAATGTATTAAGAATCCCAGAGATAAGGAATCTGAATTTGCCTTTGTCTCCAATTTGATTGGAATATTTCTGTGTCCAATCAAAGCACCTCAGAAAAATACAGTTACTGTTGACTACAATGAATTTGAGAAGCCGAGAGAATTTAAGACAGCACTGTTTTTCATTGGTAACGAGAGAAAGCTTGGCAATTTTCAATAATGTTGGGGGCACTACAGTGTACAGATTACTTAAAGATCTCCAAAACAACATATCTAAAACCCATAAAAATGTTATAAACACTCTGTTTAATAAATGACCAATGTTTTTATTAAAAAAAAAATCTTAACATGGAATTCCTTCCTACTCTGTCACCCTTAAAAAAGGCTACAAAGTACGTAACAGTCACTCTTAAGATAAAGCTACTGCACAAAATGTACAGCTCATGTATACTGAGGTGAGAAGTATCACACTGGAGTTTAGTTCACACGTTTTATATACCAGTAGTACAGCAACATCCACAGGCAGAAATCTCAACAGAATTACAGTAAACTTTCTTTTAAGCGTCATACACATGGTATCTATTTGAAGTATTAAACGGTGCATTTGAACTTAATGGCAATGTTTAAAAGAGATATTCTTGTTAGCACATTAACTTGAGTTAACTTGCATCTTTCTATGATTTACCATTCAGGAAATTAGGACAGAATAAAATTCTTGTCAAAAATACTTTGTTTATTTACAAAATTATAAGTCAGTTAAAATTGCCGGCTGAATTAGACTGCAGAGGGCCCCTTTTCTATAACTGTATACTGTCCCAGATATTAATATAATGTCACCTAAAAAAAAAAAAACTTGGGAAAGCTGAAAATTACCACACTCTCTACAAAATACATGTAATCTGTACAGATCTGGAAATAATTCAAAAGTTCAAGTGCTTAATGTGAAAACAGAGAAAATTCAGAAGTGGTAAATTTTTCTCCCTTTAAGCAAATGATATCTAGGTATGATAAACAGGTGATAATTCAGGTTCATAGTAAGTCACTGAAAGGACATTCTAGCCATCCTATGTACCACAAAGTTAGAGAAGATGTGAGATGTGCTTGTATCACTGCAGTGGCTAAGAAACAACATTTTACTGTTGTCCCCAACTATTAATAGTTTGTCCCTAATTATTACCATTTCAGTTTGATGTATTAACAATTAAAATGTCCAAATTATGCTAAATATCAACCACCTGTTACAAGTGGAAACCAAAACATTTTAATGCAAAGACTATATGTAAGATTTTTATACATTATTCCATTGATTGTTCAAAACAGTGACTACTAATGCCCAAATAATTAACTTTAAAATACTATGCCAGGTATTGTCAGGAAATATGAAATACAGAAGACCTCACTATTACTGTTGCTACTTTGCAACTTTACAAGGAGTTAAACACAAGCCAGAAGTTATAAACTTATGACTGTTAGCACTACCTCTAAATAGTTATATAATTAGAGATGGCTTTACTTAGAAGAATGGAAAAGTGCCCATTGAATAAATAACACTATATCCTGCCATAAATCAATAAAACTCAACCATGTGAGGTGGATATGGTACAGAAAATGGCATTTCGGGGAAAGTAGTGCTTTTAAAAGACATTTCCTTGGAATTAGCCAAGGTTTTTTTCACATTGCCCAAAAGACCAAGTAATATATGGATCACTTTAATTCCTACAGCCAATGTCCACTTAGGTGTTTTGTTCTGTCCACCAGCCTGACTTCAATATTCCATGGTCCACTGCAATCTCTTGGTTTTCCTTTTTTTGTAAGATGGCAGCAAGATGTCCTACCCATTGAGTAGATCAGTGCATACCTGCCATCATAATGAGTGTGTTTGGAAACTGTCTTACCAGATGGGTTGTTGGACCACAGTAAAGAGACCCATCACCTTCCTCTTGAACAACCAAACAGAGCGTATGAAGAAATATCTTTACTTTGTGTCCTTTCTGCATAGTCTTGTTCTTACAGTGTCATGCAGATGCACTATAATCGTGGCACGAGTTTTTGAGGTGACAGCAGCCAGCACCATTCCCACAAAATGATGCTTCTTTCACCATCTTTATCATCTTCCATTGTAGAAGCAATCTTATTATATTCCAGTAGTTTTTGCTTAATATTTTCACAAATGACAAAATGAATAACAGTCTCTGATATACCACCATAAGAAGCAGACATGTGCCTATGAAGCCCTCCAAGGCCATGTCTTTGATACACTCTAGGAACACACATTCAAAAGCACCCATTCACCTTCCCCCAGGGTTCCTTGCATCAAGCTGTAACTGAGTCTTTTTAAGCCAAACAGGGTTTATTGCTGTAACTGCAGGAAAACTTGCTACTGCAGCTGAAGTCATGTACTGGGTATAATCAGTCAAATACACCATTAAGCTTTTCCTTGCAGTTTCAATGTGTAGCAAAGTATGTTGCTCTGGAAGGGCCCATCCCCAGGAAATTTGGCCTAATCCATTAAAGAAGGAACAAGGTCCTTCTTTTTCCAAGGTCACTTTTAAGAAATAGAAAGGTCCATTAGAGTATTGACAAATTAATACACTTGCATAACCACCACCTTAATTAAGATACTGAGCATTTCCATCACTCCATTGACAACAGCTTCAGCCATAGTGTTCAGCTAAACTTCAGATATAAAAAAATCACAGAAGACAACAACTATGTTATTACAAATTCCAGGGGACATGTGAGAATATTGCCATTGTACCGCCACATCCCCTGACAGACAGATCTGCCAGCATGTTCTTGCTTGTTCTCCCACGTGTCCTCCCAGCACTGAGGCAGGATGCAGAACTAGTCACACATCCTGCCCATCACTTTTATTTTTATTTTTTTAACTATTGTGAAATGCACATAAAATTTACCATCTTAACCCTTTTTAAGTGTACAGTAAAGTAGTATTAAGTACATTCACATTGTTGTGCAGCCATCACCACCATCTGTCACCAGAATTCTTTTCATCTTGTGAAATGCCCATCATTTTTAAAAGTCTACTCTATTTGGGGTATAATTTATATTCAATAAAATGTACATGTTTTAAGTGCAATAATGATGAGTATTGACAAATTAATACACTTCCATAACCACCACCTTAGTTAAGATAGAAAACATTTCCATCACCCTGAAAAGTTCCCCTGTGCTCCTTCCTGCATGTGCCCTCACACCTCCAGGCCTGGGCAACCAGTGATTTCCTTTTTGTCACTCTAGATTATTTGTTTTTTCTAAAGTCTCATAGAAGCATTCATTTTCTTAAGAACCATGGATTAGAGGTGATTCTGGTCCATACAAACATTTTAGAACTACTCTTACAACCTCTCTGATTACCTCCCCCGACTCATTTATGGTATTTCCCCTTTCTCTGTTCTACTTCCCACTTTCTAATTACTTAGACATATTCAAGAGCTTGTATGTATTATTTTGAGTCTAAACCTTCCAATCCTAACTATAGTTCCTTTTTCTAGAAAAGGAAAAAAATGCATATTTGCCCCTTTTTTTGTTCTTCTTCAGTATTGGAATCTGGATATGGTACCAAGGTATTATCTCCAAAGCAGCATGTTTATGAAGTTGAATCACCCCAGTGGGAGATAATGGAAAGCCTTACAAGTTATGGTCTTGAGTGCTCGAGTTTCCAAGATGACTGGGAATGCAGAAGACAGTTTGACAGACAACAGGGAAATCCAGACCGACATTTCAGTCAAATGATCATCAGTCATGAAGAAATTCCCACTTTTGACCATCAAACATCCCTTACTTTTTATCAGAAAATTCATACTGGAGAAAAATCCTATGGATACGATAAATGTAGAAAAGACTTCTGGCAAAAGGAATTCCTTATTAATCATCAAGGAATTCATACTAATGAGAAACCCTACAAATGTAAAGAATGTGGGAAGGCCTTTAAATATGGCTCACGATTAATTCAACATGAGAATATTCATTCTGGCAAGAAACCCTATGAATGTAAGGAATGTGGAAAGGCCTTCAATTCTGGTTCAAATTTCATACAACATCAGAGAGTTCATACTGGTGAGAAACCTTATGAATGTAAGGATTGTACGAAGGCCTTCAGTCGAAGCTCACAATTGATTGAACATCAACGAATTCATACTGGTGAGAAACCTTATCAGTGTAAGGAATGTGGCAAGGCCTTCAATCGGATTTCACATCTTAAAGTACATTATAGAATTCATACTGGTGAAAAGCCCTATGCATGCAAGGAATGTGGGAAAACCTTTAGTCATCGGTCTCAGTTGATTCAGCATCAGACTATTCATACTGGCAAGAAACTCTACGAATGTAAGGAGTGCGGGAAAGCCTTTAATCAAGGCTCAACACTGATTCGACATCAGAGAATTCATACTGGTGAGAAACCCTATGAATGTAAGGTATGTGGAAAGGCCTTTAGAGTGAGCTCACAACTTAAGCAACATCAGAGGATTCACACTGGAGAGAAACCCTACCAATGTAAGGTGTGTGGGAGGGCTTTCAAACGGGTCTCACATCTTACTGTACATTACAGAATTCATACAGGTGAAAAACCATATGAATGTAAGGAATGTGAGAAGGCTTTTAGTCATTGCTCACAACTGATTCAACATCAAGTAATTCATACTGAGGAAAAGCCCTATGAATATAAGGAATGTGGGAGGACGTTAAGTCACGATTCAGCTACTGTTCAACAGCAGAAAATGCATAACAGAGAAACACATGTGAATCTAATAAACGTAGAAAAGCCTTCAATCAGCACTTATCCCTTATTAATCATCAGAGAATTTATGCTGGCAAGCAACCATATGAATGGAAGTAATGGGGAAAGCCCATTAGCTTAGGCTAATCACAACTTACTCTTGCCTCTTAGAGGAAGACTTGAAGAATGTAATGCAAATGAGAATGCCTTCATTTAGAGCTTATCCTTTATCCTAAGTCAGAAAATCCATAGCAAAGAGAAATTTTATGGATGTAAATTGCTTAAATCATGATTGTCAAAGAAGCAGGGAAAGGCTGGAAAAAATTTTGTCTCTCCAGAATAACATTTTCTAACCACAGTGTAATAATTTTAACAATAGTTAAAAGTTTTCGTTTTCTTGGAAATTAAAAAAACACAGCCAAATTATTCTTAGATTAAAACAAGGAAATAAATCATATCATCACCATGAATGGTAATGAAAAGAATGAATTGAGAGATTTACATGCCAAGAGACATAAGGTGTAGGCTACAGCGAAAGAGATGTGAGATGTAGCCAAAGGTTCACCCAGAGAAATTTTTACAGCCTTTAAATGCATGCATATTACATGAAAACCTGTAAGATTAAACTATAATACACTAAATGTTCTACTAAAGACTACCAAACATGCAGACAATAAAAGAAAAAAAGTAAGAAAATAAAAACAGAAAATGATGAAATAGAAAGTGATCATCTTACAATAATCTCAGTTTTTATTTCTTCCTGATCTAGGAGTAATCTAAATTTAGGAGAGTGTTTCTTAATTTCCACAATGTTAAATTGTTTTGGGTTATCTTACATGACTGTCAAAGACAAATGTTGGTCGCCAACCCAACAGCCATACACAATTCCCCTTCTTACTGGTAGCATTTGTGTCTTGCCTTAGAATCTGAGGCTATCAGATGCTAATTTTCCAGCTGCCTCTGCAGCTCAGAGTGGCCAATATGTCCCAATGTTGGCCAGTGGGATCTTCTAGGGCTACTGGGAAAGATTTTCCTCACTCAGAAGAAACAGATATATTTTGGAGACTCCTTCCCCTCTCACTTCCTGCTTTTAAACATTTTCTCATGAGAACATGATGCCTGGAGCTGCTGCAGCTATCTTGGAACCAAGAGGAGAAAACAGAGGACCTCAGAAAAGCTCACCCAGAGCTTGACAACACTCAGCTACTGGGTCAATTCTGGAACTGCCTCTTTGATGCCTTGTTAAGTAAGAAAAATAAATATTTGTTGCTGAAGTTACTTTTAGTTTAATATTTTATAAATCTGCAGTCAAAAGCATCCTAAATATTACAACTTCAGATTTTATTATGATTGGTAATTGTGGTCTGAAAATATCTTTTTTGAGTTTGACATTTTTCTTTGTGGCTAATACAAGATTGATGTTTGCATATGTTCCATGAAAATATATATATTCTACATTTTTGGATACAAGTTTCTAAATAAGTTTATTGAGCCAGTGGATTATAACAAAATTCTCCATGTTTTTTACATAATTTGGTATACTGGATCAGAATTTCCTAAAATTGAATTTTTTGGGGGGGGGGGGCTGAGATCTTGAATTTCCAGAGATTTCTGCTTTTTAATTTACGTTGTTTGACCTATAATGACATATTACTAATCCTCTAGGAATCATACCTTTTATCATTACATAATATCCCATTTTGACTAGTAGAGGGGTCTACAAACCAAATCAAGCCGCTGCCTGTTTTTAAAATAAAGTCTTACTGGAACACAGCATGCTCATTTGTTTACTATCTATGACTGCTTTTGTACCTCTACTTCAGAGCTGAGTAGTTGCAATAGATAATATATGGCCACAAAACCTATATTTACTGTCTGGTTCTTTAGATATAAAGTTTGCCAACCCCAGCCCAGGGTAATTCTTTTGGTATTTTATTTAAACACTGTATACTAATTAATAGTAATGATTTCCCTTTGTTTACCTGGTATATTTTTGCCCATCCATTTATTTTCAACCCCTGTCACTTTATTTTAGTTACTTACATAAAACATATACAGTCATCTTCCTTGGTGAACAGAGATATGCAAACCTACTCCCAAAGGCCAAGGGAGCTGAGAGGCTGAAGAAAGAGGCTACAAATCCAGTTTCTAAGAAAGAAACATTTAATAGGGACTTAAAAACAGAAAAGATGTCTCTGGTGGCCAAGAAACTGTGGATCTCTGCACACACACCCTCCAGAAAGTATTTTTTATATAGCAAGCTGTTTTGGGGAAAATGTGAAGCTGGTCATGTCTCAGACCCTGTTGTGAAAGGTCTGAGACATGGGGGAAGTTAGATAAGTATCTTTATGAGGGTTTATCTATGCTACAGGAACTGTTTCTTTATGAAGGGTTATCTATGCAACAGGCACTGTTTCTTGACCTTGCTACAGGAATGCCTTGGTATGCAGGAGTCAAACACCTGTCATTATGGTGGTTTTGCTTCAAGATAGCATTACTCTTGCCACGCAACAGGCTGTTTTTCCTACAAGTCATATGCTACCTAATGACATTTCAGTGGGACCGCATATATGATGGTAGTCCCGTAAGATTTATAATGGAGCTGAAAAATTCCTATCGCCTAGTCATGTTTTGGCTGTCTTAATGTCACAGGGCAATTAACTACTCACAAGTTTGTGGTGGTGCTGGTGTAAACAAACCTGCACTGCCAGTATAAAACTATGGTACATACAATTATGTACAGTACATAATGAGTGACTATGTTACTGGCTTGTGCCTTTACTGTACTTTTTATCACAATTTTAGCATGTACTCCTGGTTATTAAAAAACAAAAGTCAGGCAGGTCCTTCAGGAAGTATTCCAGAACAAAGCATTGTTATCATAGGAGAGGAGAGCTCCGTGTGTGTTACTGCCCCCAAAGGCCTTCCAGTGAGAAAAGATGTGGAGGTGGAAGACAGTGATTCTGATGATACTGACCCTGTGTAGGC